ACACCGCACGATTGGACACGCACACTGCACGATTGGACACTGCACGATTGAACACCGTACGATTGGACACTGCACGATTGAACACCGCATCATTGGACACTGCACGATTGGACACCGCACGATTGGACACTGCACGATTGAACACCGCATTATTGGACACCGCACGATTGGATACCGGTAATTATGCATAAAAAGGACACAAGCAGAAGCATAAATTTTAGATTTAAATCAGAAATAGGTATGGGTTAGGTTATATTTTCCGGAAGTGGAGCCCCCCCGTAGGGGGGGGGGGCGGAACTCCCTGCGTCCACGCATATACTTTCTCATCCATGCAACAATTGTGGGGCGGACTGTCTCTCTGTCTCTATATTATTATCCAAATGTTAACTTTAAATATCTCAGAAACTATAAGAGACCGCCGGTTAAGTTATAAGAAAAAGTTACTCAGGGTTATGTCCTTGACAACATATGTCAAGGTCAAAGTCATCGGTGAGGTGTAACCTAATATGCATATTTACCTAATTTTATTTTAGAAAGTATTTCTTTACAAAAAAAAAGATAAATCAAAATAAAACAGATGACAGACAGGTTGATACAATAGATTGATACAACAAAAACCAAGCTTAGAAAATTGTGGCGCAAATAAATCTTCCATAAATAAAAGATAGATAGAATACACTATTGTGTCTGTATATTTCTGAGAGCCTTTCTGAGAAAAAATTGCTACGCATCTATCTTATATTTGCTGAAGATAGTTCGTTAAACTAAAATGATAGTTAAACTAAAATGTATATATACGTATATATACGATTTTTATAACGTATTATAAAAATCGTTTTCTTTTTAAAATTTGAAAATTTATTTGCGTCATAGTCTCATGCGCTCGGCTCTTATTTGCCTGTCTCCTGTTTTAGTTCTTTGTGCAGAGCCTTATAAAACTAGATTTTTTTCAGTTAAATATAAATGAAAAAGTTTTCTCTACAAGGAAACTTTTCAATACTATATCGCGATGATCCTAAAATGTTTAATTTATATAAAATTAAAAACTAATCGTCAATGAACGCAATATCAAGTAAAGCTCAATTTTAATTTAATTCTATACTTTAAAATGCTTATAAAATTTCTATTTTGCGAAACATTTTTTTTCAACCGTCGAGACTTTTTACGACAATCGCCCCGCTTCAAATCAAACGTTTTAAACACAACTGTCTTACTTCATCGTTGTCGTGATTCTTCCTGATGTTGAGAACAATTCGCGCTCTGATTGTTAACCGGGGGATAGAAGAGAAAAAGTTAGCCGCACGCGGGAAGCATAATTAAACCGCTTCTTGAGATATAATAATAAAATATAAAAATAAAGTCAATAAAACAAATACGCTCAACTTTCGCTAATTACGCTATCAATGAAAAACAAACGCGACATATATTTTTTTCGGTCAACCGCTTCGGTTACGCCTTCGCGATAAATTCGCGCGTTTAAATGCTCATTGAAAATAAAATTAAACTAGTATATACGCGGCTACACCATCGACGTATAATATGGACTACGTGGTACTTATATGGAAAGTCTTTCGAAAAGTATTCGATAAAATTAGACAAAGAAGGAACGAGCTCGACCTCTCTATAGTCGCTATCTCTTTGTTTCGGCTGGTCATATTTTCCTATACCTGAGCGCAGTCCATTAAATCCGTCGTGCACATCGATGGGGTACACCGTATCATTAATCAAAGCGTATGAATCAAGACATTTATTCAACATCTGTTCTTGTTAGCAAATATGAGATGTTTGCCTCCGGAAAAGAATGCACGAGAAAATATAATAGAGAAAGTAATATTTCAAATCATAAAAATTTTTTAAATATGCAAAGAAAAGGGAATCCTACATTTTGAATATAAATTATCTATATATTATATATTATTTTTATAACTTTAAAAAAAATCTCTCTTTCTCTCTCTCTCTCTCTCTCTCTCTCTTGCTCTCATTTACCTTTCTCTTTCGCTGACGCGATACGTCAAATCGCGTAATCCTAACAACACACACGTTCAAAAGACGTTTTACATGTAAAACATCCTCTGGATGTCCTCTGGACGTCGTTTGAACATGTGCGTTGTTAGGGAAGCGTCCTGTAAGTAAGTATAGACCAGGTAACTTATTCCTGCGAGAAAGCTTATAACGGAGAGAAATCGTCGTGAAGATGGCAAGATTCTTTCAAGGATCGATACATCAGTGAACGGCTTCTCGTACGTTGATATCTCGGATTAGGAGGAAAAGATAGTCGTTTCGTAAGAACAGCGAGTGTGTCACGCGAACAATCCCGGATTATAAATAACAACATCATTAGGGAGAGACGGTTGGCTTCCGTTTCATGGAACCTCTTAATCGTCCGCGGCATTATTTGAAAATCAGGTAAATAAACTCATCGCTCCTTGACAGGTTCCGCGACAAGTAGCGAGAGTCGCGCGAGAAGAGAGAAGAGAGTTTTCTAAATTAGATGAATGTCAACGACTGATATGTGGCTATGAGCTAAATAACTCTTCCGGTCGGTCGATATTCCTGCGATCGATTAGATCGTATCGCGACATAACATATAAATATTTCCGAGAATTGATCGCGAGTAAAAA